GCCTCGGAAACCCAAGGAGGGGTCGCTATGCAGTCAGGATCTACTCCACAGCAATGAGTTTGGTTTTTTTTTCTTCAGAACTGTGAGAGGATAAATTTATGTTGTTTTAAGCCACTCATTTTGAGGTAATTTGTTACAGAAGCCTTAGGAGACTGATACAGTGACAATATTTTGTGTACCTTTCTTCCTTAGAAATTATCCAGATAGCTAAATAATTTTACTAATTACCTCAATTTAATATTAATATATAGATTTCAAGTTAACTAAGGATCTGGAAATTATGATTTAAGTCAGCATATTAAGTTCTCATGATTTGTAGCATTATAAAAATTCACAAGATTAAATAAACCCTTTAAAATATATCCATTATTGCAAATGCATTTAGTTAAACACAATTTTATATTTTACTAATTTAAAACTACTTGAGGAAACAGTAATGATGATTTACTTCACCCATAAACCAATGCAGGAAATTTAAATATTTTAAATCTTGACTCATTACACTCAAGTCTTGTGCTAACTAGAACATTGTATCTTTATTTAAAAAAAAAATAGTGGTAAAACCACAGAGAAGACATAAAAGTTTTATTAAACTAAAATTAAACCACTGTGATTTGTCCAAACTGTCATCTACTTATTGGAATATTACATGAACTCTTTTCTATACAATTATAAATCTCTTGACTCTTTAAATCATCCCCAAAACTCAGAATGTCTTGCTTTTCTGCTTATTTTGTTACTTAGGTACCTAGGCCACTGTTTGATGTCACAGTTAAAATTTTTCATATGAGTTGCAGTGTTAGTAAGGAAAAAAAATCTGAGAACCAATATATTTGAAGCAACAAAACACAAACAATTCAATTTCATTTTTTCTCTTTGATATTATTGGTGTTTGGCATTACGAGCAGTCCCTGGCTTGCAAAGTCCAATTTACTGACAACTCCTACTTGCCCTTTAATGTTACATAAATTTGCCCTCATTTTGAAAGGATTGTACCAATCCCCACTCACAACAAATGCTTCATTACAATCTCTTTCACTTGCTGCACGTGCAGCTTTTATATCACTGAAAGGACTTTAAGCCTTTTCTTGTACTAAAACCCAACACACTACCATCCAGTCGATTCTTGCTCATAGTGACCCTACAGGACAGAGTTAGAACTGCCCCATAGCATTTCCAAGGTGGTAAATCCTTACAGAAGCAGACTGACTGCCTCATTTTCCTTCCACAGAGAAGCTGTGGGTTTGAACCGCTGACCTTTTGGTTAGCAGCCCAATGCCTTAACCACAGTGCCACCAGAGCTCATTTTTCTTGTACTAAAGTACCCGCTTGTCTTAAAAACCCACTTTGGGTTTCCAAGGTGGGAAATCTTTACGGAAATACATTGCCCCATCTTCCTTCCGCAGAGTGGCTGTTGGGTTTGAACCGTCAACCTTCTGGTTAGCAGCCAAATGCCTTAGGCACTGCACCACCAGAGCTATCTTTGTTACCCTCATTAAGTCTAATCCAAATACACCGCTCCATTCTTTAGGTGGGAAATATTGAGTATTTGACTCTCACATGTCAGAGAGTTGGAGGTGGAGGGTGGGGTGGAGGAGAGGGAATGCGGGCATTCATCTGAAGGCTAAAAGCCGTGGACTCAAGTCCTGCTTTTGCTCCTAGTTTCAAGTGAGCTTAATTCCTGAATCTGCTCCCACATTTGTGAAAATAGACATAGCATTAAAAATACCTGTAGCACAAAGTTGTGAAGATTATATTGGAGAACGTCCTGGGAAGTAATTTTTTTAAGTGTAAAGTGCCACAAATGTAAATATTCCAACGCGACTAGAGTTGGAGTAAATCCTAAAGCAGCAATCAGGCAGAGGAGGTACAGTTTCTATCAAAGACTTTCAATTTGGGGGTGCCTTCTATTTACAATGCATTTATATCTTGTTTTCATTTAAAAAAAAAAAACCCACCAGCCACTCCTCGGAAGGAAGGTTGGGCAATCCTACTTCCGTAGTGATACTGCCTCG